ATCGTTTTGTATGTTGGTATGAGTAATCGGTAGCCGATTGTTGGATTTTTGTCTTATGAGAATCAGAGGAGCAGTGAGTTATCAAGGTTGATGATTCGAGGAGCGAATAACATGGTGATAACTTGAGTGGGCGGTCTGGCAGCGGACCAGGCCACTAGAGTTCCAGATTTTGGGAAAGTCAGAAAGGGTTATCTTAGCGGCAGAAGGGTTAGTTCTGTTCCGAACTTGGGAATTTCTGTGTGGATTCAGGTGTCCACAGAAAAAGATATCGATGTGGTATGAGATCCTTTCGGTAGTACCTTTCGGGTTGTTGGATTCAATCTTTGTGTAGTTAATGAGTGATTTCAAGGGTGAAATCTAATTCTAGTGGGGGAGAATTGTAACATCCTGATTTCCAAGGTATAACATTTCTATATGCAAGTATGAGTTTGTTTGGGTGACTCGACGAGTTAGTGCCTCAACTCGCCGAGAAGGGTCGTGAGTTGGTAACATGTTAAATGGATGGACTCGCCGAGTCGGGAATCTAACTTGCGAAGTCAGCGCTATGGAGGAAAAGCCTAATTTTTCGAATTATTGACCTATTTAAAGGCTCTAATGGCCTTCATTTGCGGCCACACCTTCCCTTGAGAGACCCTATTTGATCCAAAGAGCATAGAAAGAAGGAGGGGGCTAATTTCATCATCTTGGTGCATTTTTGCAAAGAAGAAGGAGGTTCTTTAAACATGATCTACTTGAGGGGTTCAGATATGTTGTTATTCCTTTCAAGGTTGTTGTTTTAGGTATAAATCTACACCTATTTTCGTATGGTTAGTAGATCTCATGAATTTAGGGTTTCTTCACCCTCTTTTAAGTTGAGTTATGAAGTATGTGAAGTCCCTTTGAGGCTTAGACATCAGATTTGGACCTTGAGAGGTCCAAAGAGTCCCATGATCCCAGCTTTATGCAGTCACATAAGAGTAATGAGCCTAAAACATCATTAAGAGCATCAGAATAGAGCTAGATATGTGATGCATGAGCATAAAGGTTGGACCTTTACGTGACTTTTGGATGCTAGGAGGTTGGATCTATAAGCTCTACTCAAAGATCTGACCTGAGGTGGCTAAATGAGAAATACAATGGAGCCAACTCACCGAGTCCATGGGATGACTCGACGAGTCATAGCGGGTGTGACCTAGTAGCCTGGACCCAGTGTTAACTCATCGAGTTGAGAGTGAACTCAGTGAGCTGAATAAACCCTAGAAAGAATGCGGAGAATACGAGTGGACTCGGCGAGTCACAGGTGTGCACACGGTGATTCAGGTTAGTATTGGCTGTTGACTCAATCTGGCTTTCTTTTAACTTCCTGGGTGAGTCAATAAGGGACAAGAGGGATCTAGGAAGGGTAAAATAGACTTTTACCCATCCCGAGGGTAAAAAGGGTGAAAGAGGACTTAAGGAGTAAATGAGTAATAAGGAGAATAATGATCATGATGCTTGTCTAATGTGTAGGCAAAGGCTAGTAAGGGGTTTTCGAGTGCTGTCTATTACCTACTAGCCATCAGGTGAGTCTTCTCACTATACCTTACCTAGAGTGGTAGTTATGTGTGACAAGAAGGTCTTATGTGCTTACACGAGTTATGTGATATTGTGCATTTTGTCTATGTGATATTATGCATTTTGTTTATGTGAGATATGTTCTTATCTATGAGATATGTATGTGTTATGTCATGAGTTTCTTGGTCGGGCCGGAAGGTCGACAGGGTTGGACTGGAAGGTCAACAGAGTAGGACCGGAAGGTCAATAGAACAGGACCAGAAGGTCATCAGGGTAGGGTCGAAAGGTCTACCAGAGTTGTGGAGCCGGAAGGTCCACTGAGACGCATTGACCGGAAGGTCTAGTGGAGTTATAGCCTCGAGTGGCTAATTATATGTGCTTGGTATTTTGGGGATCCCACTAAGCTTCGTACTTACCGTGTTATATGTTATGTGTTTCAGGTTTTCTCCAGATCGTGGGACGACGCCGACTTGATTGTACACACCATAGAAAGAATTATGTTTCGAGGATCCTGGATCATTAACTGATTAAACTCAAAGTTATGTTATGTAACTAAATAAATGATGTTTTCTGAAATGTGTTAAGAATATTATATGATTAAAAATGAAAATTTTGTTTTGAAAATTCACATCGTTACACATACCATATGATATAATGACTAATTTGTCAATTCTTTTGTTATTATTTATATAAAACAATAATTTTTCTCTAATTAAATAGAAAAGTTCAATTTATTTATTGATAGTCTAATTCTTAATAAATATACAATAAGTACCAACTTAATGGAGGTGTGACCTCATAGGATCATATGTCATTAGAAATATCACTCAATAATGATTTTTAAGCATATAGATCCAACAGAGAGGACCATGACACCTGTACAAAAGACTATGGGAAGACTATAACAACAAAGGCAGTAGGAGGAACACATTAGTGAGTGACTATATGACTATGGGAGGACCATAACATTCATACATTCTTTTTTGATATGTTTGTATGTGGTATTTTGGGGAACTCACTAAGCTTTGTGCTTATGATTTTATGTTTAAATGTTTCAAGTACTTCTAGTTCCAAAGGGAAGGGCCGACTTGATTGCATTGCATTCCATGGAGTTTTCCTGCATTGTCTTCTTTACGAACTTACATTGATGTTTTGAGAGTACTTTTTATACTCTGATTATCTTATATACGGTTGAATGATTGGTTTTTGGTTGTTTAAAAATGAAAATTTTACTTTGTATTTGTGGAACGTTACAATCATGATCTTAGATGACACATCCATATCATATGTGGCATATCAAGGCATGTTGATGACACATTAGGAAAATACATGGAACATCTAGTTTGCACATGGTACATCATGAAGGATGATGACACATCCAAGACCTCAATGACACATCATGTTAATCTATGGCATATCATGCTATGCATTGATACATCTTCAAGTATAAGAAACTTCCTTGCATTGAAAAAGCAACTTCTCATGTTTAATGACACTCCTGGATCTCAATAACACTCCTCGTCATCAATGGATCTCCTAGAAGTCAATGACACTCCAAGAAGTTGATGACACTCTTAGAAGAAAATGGAGCTTCATCATACTCAATGGAAATTCATGATGCTGATAGCATCCTCAAAGTTGATCAATAATATTCAAGTGAATTCAAGACTTAAGACTTGGATAGAACCCTAATGTAATGCTAACAAAATTAAAATATTTCATCCATTATCCATTAAGTGGGGAAAAGTATCAATTGATGACTCAGTCATGATGACATGTCAATACCTGATTGGTTAAGCCATGTCACATGCTTTTAAGAGAGCCTAGAAATAGTCCCCTTGGGATCCACTATAAAGCTGCACATTCTACTCAGATGTTTCCTACTTTGTTTCTTCTAGGTGAACCTAAAGAGTTTTAGAACATCATTAGAAGTTACTTAGTCTTTCTTAATGTTTCATTATTGTTTCAAACACTTGTAATCAAATGCTTATGAATATGAATATGAAACACATTTGAATCATTTACATTGAGTTTACAAATATGTTTTGTCAAATACTTGGTTGATTCACAGCTTTCTATTTTCCATATTACTTGTCATTTGACGATTTCGAAACTCTATCTCAATTTTTCAAACACTTTGATTGTTTAAGTCTAGGTTTACTATTTTTCATATTTCATTAAAATGACATTTGCTTGAGTTTTAAGAAGTCTACAAAATGTGTGGTGAGCTTAAATCTTGGTTTGATATGCTTATTGTTAACAACCTGACTAGTTTTCAAACCTAAATTAAGCTTAATATTTTGCGGACAAAGCATTTCTTTGTAAACATAAACTCTGAATCTTTGGTACCTTTCTCCAAATGATTTTTAAGTATGTTTTCGACTAGGCCGTAATGAGGGATGTTGTATTCTTCGTTTGGATTTGCGTGACTTGAGAGGATTGTACTAGACTAGAACCTATTTGAAATGAAACTGGAGATAAGGTGTGATATTTGAAGTGGTAGAATGTTTTATTTATAGTGAGTAAAAAGGATTAAAAAATTAGAAACTTGATCATTACTTAAACGGTCAAAGAGGGAGAGAGAGAGAGAGGGGGGGGGGGGGGGAGTGTGTGTGTTTATGTGTGTGAACTCCAACGGTTTATGTTGCCTGTTAGTTCTCCCAATTTGTGGTATCACCTAAGGTCGAAGTCATTAAGCCGAAGGTACTGCCATCCGGTACCACCACTACCCACGAATGAAGCCACCATGCTAAGAGTAATGAACTTTATCACGTGTTAACATTTAATCACTTATGTTATATCTTCGTACATTTAGCCATATTATATATATATATATATATATATATATATATATATATATATATATATATATATATATATATATATATATATAAAAGGGTTTATGGAATAGGAGACTTTATATGATTTATATTTTGGCCACAACATTTTAGAAATGTTATACTTTTGGGTTCTTCCTAATAACAAAAAATTTTAAAAAGTGAGTTTTTATATATATATATATATATATATATATATATATATATATATATATATAGAAAATGAATTACAAAAATGGTCCTTATTGGGTGTTTTTTTTTTTTAAATATTCTTTTTAATTTTGTAAGAAAAACTAAGAAAAACTTTCTACGCATCTCGGTCCAAGCGGGGATGGACATTTTCTAATTATATTTAATTGTCATATGTGTAAAAAACATAAATGATTTATGTACGTAACAAAAAAAAAAAAAAACACTTAATGATCATATGTATAGAAAAATCCTTAAGTGACTAAATTTATAACCAAGACAAGATAAAACTTATTACCATAAGTCGTTAATCTTATTGAGAATGCTCCCTCTTGGTGGATGCCTTTTTTTTTATACATGTTCGTCACGGAAAATAGAAAAATTAAACACGTTTATTTAAATCATTTCAAAAGGTTACCGACGAGCTCATGATTCCGTGAGAATAAATTAAGAATGACCAAAAGCTCATTGTGGGGAGAAAAACTCAGAGGTGTTTCCCAACATTAGAAATATATATAAAGGGGTAGTTCGCTAAAACTTAGTCTCAAACTATAAGCCTTTGGTTCCACCAAATCTTTTCAGTGAGTGTTAGCGAGGTATACTTAATGGCAAGGATGTCTGATCCTCTTGTGATAGGGAGGGTGGTAGGGGATGTAGTGGACAATTTCAGTCCATGTGTGGAGATGTCTGTAACGTACAACTCATCAAAGCAAGTGTACAACGGGCATGAGCTGTTTCCTTCATCTGTCACAACCAAACCTAAGGTTGATGTTCGTGGTAGTGACATGAGATCTTTCTTTACACTGGTAACCTCCTCCAGTCCTATTTTCAAATCTAACACCAAAAAGTAGAGCTCTTTTAAATCCTAATCGGCATATGTATGCAAACTATAGACCAATTGATTTTATTTTTACAATTTTTGTAAACTTTTTGGGCAATACGGAAGTCGTATAAAGCAGAACATAAACATGCTTAAATTTGCAGATTATGACAGACCCAGATGTTCCTGGTCCTAGTGATCCATATCTCAGAGAGCACTTGCACTGGTATATCTCTTTCCTTTTTTATAAAATTTCATTATTAACATATGGGTTTGGATCTCTACACCATCTTCATGGTTGTAATTAAAGTCGATCATGGCTTGATGAATTGAATGACCTCAATTAAACCCTAACTAATCACATCTTATACATATTCATAAACATTAAGAAAACCCGCGTCTAACTAATGGCATCTTGTGACAAAGATTGGAGTGGGTTCAAGAATCAAGTTTCTCTGTGAATCAGGACTGATCAAACTGAAAGGTTAATGAATTAAAACTTTCTACTTTTGGTTTTGTATGAACTAAAACTTTCTATTTTGGAGTTCATGATACTTTTAAAAACTAGAAATAATTGAACATTTTTTTTTGGATATATATATGAATTGTTATTTTGAGCTGTCGCAATAGATAACTGATTTCCATATTATAAAACCCTTTGTAGGGTTTTATAGTATTACACGTGCGTTCCCGGTGATCCATTCATATGTTTTCCCTGGCCTTTTAATTAATTATGCAAATGTTATCTGAACATTTAATCGATTAACAACATGTTTAGAAAATGCATAATATATATATATATATATATATATATATATACACACACTAAGAAATAAAATATTCTTTTACTTTTTCGCTTCTACCATCTTTCTGTCAAAACTAATTAATTTTTATTATATTTTATTAATTAATAATGTATTTAATAAATGTAATTAATTTTTATTATTCTTGTTATCATATAATTGTGGTAGGAGAATGGATAGGAAAAATAAATAAAAGGATATTCACATATAATATAAGCAAAGATGAGCTTTGTATTTTGAAAAGTGGCTTTAGTATAATCATGCATGCATAGTCGAAAGTCTAAGCAAACAATCAAGATATATAGGAACCTGGAAGCATTCTATAATACAATTACACATGAACCTTCCTTAGTTTCTAGTTTGTTGATTTCATTTTAATGTTTTATTTAGTGTCGTTTTAAAAGCATGCATGATCGAGACAAGTACTACAATGTCAAATCCCTTTACGTAATGTCATGTTAACAAAGTTCCCATGACAAACAAAAAAAAATTAGAGTTTAATTTTTAAATAAATTTAAGTACGATATATCTATATTATTAGTCTAACAATTTAAACAATTAATATACTTTTTCTTATAGATGTCATCACCTCTTCCTATATATGAGCTCTATATATATGGGAGTATGTATTTTTTGGTTATGTTTGCGTAATTAATTATATATTCAAAGTAAAAGCATTAAGGGAAAGAAAAGATTCCACATGTCACATCCTCTCTTGACCAACTATGTGTTGGATTCTGGATTTGGGAAGATCTGCTCTACAATATTTGATGATCATTTGGTACGTAATAGTATAACAGGAGAAGAAATGGGTTCAAGTGAATATGGATTATAGACCAGAGAATTTATCTTGAACACAACGCAATCTGAACGAACAAAGGCAAAAAGCAATAGTGTAGTTTAAAGAGGGTCTACTATAAAAGCAATATGTCAGATTCATCTTGTTTACCTGTTTTAACATTGGACCAACCAATAATGTTTCGACAACGTTTTTCTTTCACAGGATTGTTACAGACATCCCAGGCACAACGGATTCCTCATTTGGTACGTATCTTCCACACACATTATTTTCTTCCTTTTTTGCCTTCAAATTAAGATTTCTTCGTATGTATATATATATATATATATATATATATATATATATATATATATATATATATATATATATATATATATATATATATATATATATATATATATATATATATATGAAAATATCATTTTATTTTTAGATATGGAAATGCAATTCTAGCCATTAATATTGAAGATATAAAAAAAATGCAAAATAATTAAAAAATTTTAAAAAAAAATTAATATTATTCTCATCATTTTTATTATAAGATATTAAAAAAAATAATAATAATAATAAAATTACCATTTTTAAAAAAAATACATGAAATATTAAAACACAATATTATATTGTAAATATTTAAATCGAATTTTTAAAATTTTATAATATTCTACTTGAATATTAAACTATAAATATTTGAAAAATTCTAATAGAATATTAGAGTATTTTAAAAAATCTAAAAATTCAAGTATAATATTAAAATATTTTAATATATCCATTAATTTTAGTAGAATATTAGAGGATTCCAACCTTCTAAAAGTGTGATTTAATTATTTTCAATTTAATATAAATAATTATAATATTTCATTCATATTTCGAAAAGAACGGTGATTTTTTAATAAATTAAATAACGAAAATAATATTTAAAAAAAAAATTGGATTTTTCCTATTGTTTTTCGTTTTATATTTTTTTAATTTTTTTAAATTTCTAAGATTAATAGCTAGGATCGTGTCCTTATGTTTCACAAAATTAGCATGATCCTCTACTTATATATATATATATATATATATATATATATATATATATATATATATATATATATATATATATATATATATATATATATATATATATATATATAGAGAGAGAGAGAGAGAGAGAGAGAAACGTATATAATATATACAAAGTTGGGATTGTACATACCATCGGTTTTTAATTACTTGAAGGTATCACTCTTGTTATTGTACGTACTCTAATTCTATTTAAAACCCTATCCAACCGTAAAAAATAGATCGAGTTTACCAAAGCGTTGAATATAACATGATTTTCGTGGAACGTATCTTGTATCATGTCAATACATATGGTATCCGTTTAAACGCTCTCAAATGCTTCAAATGAAAATTATCAAAATTTGCAAGAGTACTAATTAAACCCATGATGTAAGGCCCGGGCGGCCCCATAGAGAGGATAGTGTGGACGTCTGCCACCTAAAAATATCAAATAGAAGCTTTTAATTGAGTCAAAAAAAAATTTAACAAATTTTCAAGAGTACTTTAAACCCATGATGTATGGGCCGGGCGGCCCCACACAGAGGATAGTATGGACGGCTGCCACCTAAATATATTAAATATATATTTATTATTAAGATTATTATTTCCAATGAACTTGCCTTTATTCAAAAAACAATAGAATCTTTTAATTGAGTCAAAGAAAAAATTAAAAAAATTCCTTCAAATTATCTCTATAAACAACATAAATAAATATCACGGTAACAATTAATAGCGGATTTTTTTGTTCCGCTAGGGAAAATTAAATAGTCCGCCTTTTCATGATGTATAAGAAGGTCTCGGTAGAGGTTAATTAACTAAAAATATTAATATACTAAAAGAGTTACATACGTACAACGTCACATGTATATGTTATGATATACATAATTTATTTATTTATTTATTTTTAAAGTTAGCGTAGTGATGACTGTGATATTTAAGCATGTGTTTGTGTTTGTAGCTCTCTCTCTCTCTCTCTCTCTCTCTCTCTCTCTCTCTCTCTCTCTCTCTCTCTCTCTCTCTCTCTCTCTCTCTCTCTCTCTCTCTCTCTCTCTCTCTCTCTCTCTCTCTCTCTCTCTCTCTCTCTCTCTCTCTGAGTGTGTGTGCACTTTTAAAGATAGTATTGATGTACCTAGTAAGCATATGAGTAGGTAGCTAGTTGTTAGAATATTACACAGACAACTAACACAAAAATTTATTTATGTAAGGTTGTGCTATAAATTCTCACATTCACTCACATACAGTGTCACATCAAGGGGGTGCACAAATACTATTACACACACATATAAGGGGGTGCACAACATTGGGGGAGGGGGTACATATAGAAATTGCCTTTATGTAATCTATTTGTTACCATTAATGTTGTGGAACAGGAAAAGAGTTAGTGAGCTATGAAGTACCCAGGCCAAACATAGGCATCCATAGGTTTGTGTTTCTGCTCTTTAAGCAAAGGGGAAGGCAGACCGTCGTTGGTCCATCTTCAAGGCATAACTTTAACACTCGTAGTTTTGCTCATGAAAATCAATTGGGATTACCTGTTGCTGGTGTCTTCTTCAACTGTCAAAGGGAAACTGCAGCCAGAAGACGTTAATCATCCTGTTTATTTACCTCATTATATTAAAAAAGATGGTAATGTTAATGTATGTGGAATTCCAGAACGGGCCTGGTTGCTTAGAATAAAGAATGGGGGTGAACCTACTTGTATTGTAGCACTCATTGGCCGATTATGTGATCCTTTAATTTGTTCTTGATCTTGTACGTAATATCTTAGGTAAATTTAAGGGCTATCTCCATAGGATGTGCAACTGGCCTTGTAAGTCAATATGATATTATAGTATTTAAGTGCTATGTCCATAAAGTTTACTATAAAAATGTTTTTCAATAAATGCAATTTACATACATATATATCACCTAATATTATATTATTAGACGATAGATATTGATCTTTACAAAAGTTTTATGAAATATACATATATGATTGGAATTAACATCAAGAAATTAATTACTAAATGTAGCAATCACAAAATATATTGTGAACCAAATATTGATGATAAATATGGTATTTATAAAACATGTAGTACTTTTTTGTAGACAACATTGTAGTTGTGTTTGATATGTTTCATTTTTCATCCATGATTAATGCCTTTTATACCCTCTTTAGTTGTTACTCTAGACAATGCCACATATAGTTGTGCATAGTGAACAAAGGTTTCACAAGAATAACCAAACTCTTGAAAGCGATTGACTTTGACGTTTATTGATTGTCATTACTAAAGATAACACCAAGGAAACTATTTATGGATAAATCTGAAAAGCATTTGTTTATCAAATGGATTTAAACGGATCCTTGGCATTAATGTTTAAGCTCCAACATTATTTCCCTAAATGATTTTTTGCTTCAATCACACATGTTGATAGGTTGATTACACACCTGTGTGCCAAATGACATAGTACTTTCAACTTTAACTCATGATTGGATAATCCTGATAATTTTATGGAGTTTAAAAACATCACGTAAGTAAAACATTTCGGATCTAAGAAGTGTACCGATCAGAATTCTACAGTTTGTTTAAACCTAACTATTTTTGTGAAACACTTGACATCTAATTAAACATGCACATAATCATTTATCTTGTCTACTTCTTCATTCGTAGGTGCCTAAATAGCATGATGATGAAAAGACTCCCTCTGTCCTATATTAATAGTCTATGTTTCTTTTTTGGTTTGTCCCAAAATAATAGCCTACTTCTAAAAATAAATATCTCTTTTACCAAAATACACCTCATTATTAGTTAACCTACCATGGAATTAAATGCAAAAAATGGTATAATTGTCATTTCATTTAATGAAGTTAGAAGTAATTAATGGTGTTTTTTTTTGTGAACAATAATTTTAGGACGGAGGGAGTAGTTGTCAGCTTCAGTATTTTGAAATTTTGATAAGAAATAAGCATACAAAAAATCAACAATTACCTTAATAGGATCATGAACATCTTTACTCAACATGTACTCTGAGATTCAAATCTCTACTTGCCCATCATTGTCCTCAAATACGATACCATCACCAATGTTCAATATCCATTGTGCAAATTTTCGTTCTTTAGTGGCGCGCTTCATATTACAACCTACTTGTAACCGTATATTGACAGTCAACTTTAAAACCTCACAATACTACCAACGTTTTCAAAAATTAAGAGTTGTATTTATGATATATTATGTAAGGCCCCAAATTACAACCCAAAATTTTCAGTTAAAAACTAAGTGTTTATTCAAATCACAACTGTAGGAATTTAAAACATTTATCAAAGTATCAATAAAAGTTATCATGTGCAAAAGTCCCTCATTGATGCGATGCATTCAAGCTGTGACCCTCCTTTAATATAAGGAAGCCTGAAACATGTAAACCACAAATCGTAAACACAAAGTTTAGTGAGTTCCCCAAAATACGACACACATCACAACATAAATAAATAGTTACAACTTATCAGCAACCCTAGAGACTACCCGAAGTCTCAGTGGGCAAACAGCACGCCGTGTGGGTTATCAGCAACCCTGGAGACTACTTGAAGTCTCAGCAAACACAGGAAAGCATACAAGAGTTATAAGGACAACAAGAATCCTACATACATAATTTAGTGGGCTAACATTGGTGTCTTCCTGAATTGAAGAACTTTGAGACACTACAACACATTCCTTTTTCTGCACTGCTTGCACCCATGAATCCACTAATACCAGAACCAGATAAAATATTAATTAATCGCCCAAAACCCTCAAGTTTAACCCAAGGTCAAACTTTGTCAAAAAGTCAATAGTCAACAACTCAAACTCCACGCTGAGTACGCCAAGCGTACTCAGCTTGTACGTATGGCGTATTTACCATCCAGAAACGAGACCCCATACGAGTATGCGTAATGTACTCAAAGGTACGCCTATCGAACTCTGTTAGATGACACTTTTCCAACTTTATCCATTAAAATGGTCCAAACCACCAAGATCTAGCCCTTAATTATCAAATGGATCAAAAGTGTATCTTTTTTAACTTAATCCATTAAGTCCAAGTTTCCAACTGTCAGATCTGAATCACAATGATGTTTAAATGGATTAAGTTTCCAACTTTATCTATAAAAAGGTCACAAACTTTCAAGATCTAAACTTTATGCAATTAAATGACCAAAAAATCATAACATACAAAACTAGCTATATCTAACAAATGCATCATCAAGATTCAAACTTTATACATCTAGAAGAGAGATCAAGGTGAATAAGGTGTGGATCTACAATCTCTAATGCAACCAACACTTCTCCAAGGTGCACCATGCACACTCCAAAGTACTCAAAAACATCTACTTTTAGCTCACAAGACTCAAACTAGGCTTAGGGTTTCATGGGAAAGTGTTGGAGAGGTGGAAGCTGAGAATGGAATGGGTTTGAGGAAGTTAAGGAGCTTAAATAGGGATCAAATCACGAAAATAGGGTTTGGGCACTGATCGAGTATACCCAACATATTCCTGGTACGCCCAACATACTTAGGGATTCCCTAGTACACCTGACGTACTTCCCATATACGCCCAACATACACAACTTAACCCAAAATCGTCCTAACTTCGAAAGGTCATAACTTCTTCATTTCAAATCGGATTTTGATGATATTTATATCCACGGAAAGGTATTGAAGAGATATACAACCATATATAATTACTTTTGACTTAAAAATCATCGAACTAAAATCAATAATTCATAAAAGAAGTTTGAAACACCACTTCCTATTTTTAACTTTGACTACAAAGCACAACCAAGGCCTTGGATCACACAATCTACATTACCCACATCCAAATGGGTCTAAACCTCTCTTTCCCAATGCTTGGAGCCTTATGATACTTTCTCTTTGGCTCACGTCCCTGAATTGTGAAACAACTCGAAAAAGGGTGTTACATATTGTTTACGTTCTCTTGGTAGGAAAAGCAATATCTACTTGGAATCCCCTCAAAAAACAACAACTTTTCCGTCAATTGGTGAAAAATTGATACCTCTCCGATTTAAAGTTTCAACATATTTTTTATACACCATCAGAGCCTCATCCCAAATAATCAAATTTGTCTCCAAGCAACCAACACATGTCACTGTCAATAGAAATAGGACACACTGACTCTTCGTCAACATTAACTGGAATTTTGAATCTTGAATTGTAACACATGGATTCCAGGTATTTCTTATTTTAACCCTTAGTATTAAATTATTTTGAAATTTTGGTCCCAAGGGGTGAAAAGTGAAACTTTTAAGGAGGGGTGCGTACGATGGGTGTACTTCTAGTATGCAGGGCGTATGTTTTCCGGGAACAAACCCTAATGTTTTGGGTTTGGACCCTATTTAAGGAACATTACGGTTATTAAGCCACTTAATGGAAGGGTAAAATGGTCTTTTACCCTAGGAGTCAGGATTAGTGAATTAAGTATCGATTATGGTTTTTGACCAAATTATTAATTATGTTATTATTTTATCATATAGTGTGTGGATTTTCCGAATCATTAGTTTGAGCATCTATTTGATTGACAGTAGATTAAGGTGAGTCTCTTCCCAGTGTTTGGCAGGTCGAAGGCACCAATGTCAGCGCATGGATTATTGTTATTTGTATGGTAGTTGTTTGTGTGACTCTTTCATGTGTTGTATGTTTTGTTTATATGTTGGGTTGGGCCTGATGAGTATGTTAGGAGGGGCCCATCGCATGTTACCAATAGATCTATTCTGGGTGGAGCTTGATGTCGGGCGGGGCCCGATGTATGGAGGGAATGGCCAATTGTATGTATAGTGTGTGCCTTGTGCTTATGATTTTCAGTTTTTTTTTTAGGTACTTCTGATTCGAAGTGGAAGAGATTAGGTTTATCACATCGCACACACCATCATTTTTCTGCTTTATTGAATTTGATGTATTTGGGATGATTATTTATACACTATGAATTTCTTATGGGTTTGATTAACACATTTAGTTGATGCTTATTTAATATAAAAACAAAATTTTTGGGTCTAGATTTTTAGGACATTACAAGTTGGTATCAGAGCATTAGTTTGAGGGATTTAGGCATACTCTCGGGTGTGTTTGAACTTAAACTGAGGGTTTGATAGATTTTTCATAAAAAGAAATATTTTAATTAAAGGATTTTATAATAAAGGAAGGGGGTGTGGTGCATGAAATTGAACAGCTCAAGTAAGATTTCACAAACTACCCATACATGTTCTATGTGATATTCTTTGAATTATGAATTTGTGAAGTGCATGCTAGATTAGAGCTAAGTATCTGCTTAGGATTACATGATAGAATGCTAGGAGAGATGCCTTATATGCTTACTGTATGATCTCATAGACTTTCATTCTACTTTTGGACTATTTAGTAATAGGACAGCCTGTTTGATGGGTTTTGAGCATAACAAACAAAAAACTATGTGTGCATTCAACCCTAATTCTTGATCTATGTTTTCTCTAATTGAACATACAACTTTTGGACATCAAATGGAAAACCCTAAGACTACTAGCATATTTTCAAAATCACTAATTACGGTTAGGAAAACATACCTTAATTGTTATATACAAATAACAATGTAAATCCTTAGTGTTGATGAAACTTGGAGAGCAAGCACCACAAGTGGCGTGCCTCTTGTAGATCACACCCATAACTAGCAAGAGGATGAGAGAGGAGAGTGGAGAAGAGGCTTAAGAATTCTGGATATTCTCATAGGGTTTCAAGTGGCTGAAAATCATAGGGGTTAGAGGTCTATTTATAGTGTAGATAGGATGTCCTGGATAACCCTAATCTGAATATAATATTATCATTTCAAATTGGTAATTATCTAACTCCTTATTTATCCACACGGGATAATTTGGAATCCCTAGATTATCCATATAGAA